ACCATCAGATTGACGGCCAAGTCGCCGGAACCAGCTTCTCTCGTGTCAACAGTGAAGGTGGAGGGAAGACTAGCCTGGACGGGGCCCTTAAGACCAGCGCCAGCGAGGCGCACCTTTTCTGGCTCCTGCGTGGGACGAACGGGAATGTTGAACGGTGAGCCTACCACAGGCTGACCGTCACAATTGACTGTCACCTGGCAGGGACCCTCCGCCTGCGGCACATAGCTGCACTCATAGAGACCCGGCTGGTCAGCCACAGGATGAACTGTGACTGGCATCGGAGCAGCACCTGGTTTCGGGGTGTAGGTGGCCTAGGCAATGGACATAAAAGTGTGTTGAATCACTGAAAGGGAAAGATGAGCAATAAACCAGACAAATTGATGCGTGAATAAATAACAACGAAGCGCCTCCAACCAAACTTCTAACACCTTCAGTTGCTGAAGGAACTTCACAAATGGGAAGCGCGTTTATTGATGCTTCAATATGCCGGCAGCCTGTTCATCCTAGGACTTAAAGCAAGGCATGATCAGTCGGACAGTAACCTGATCAAGGTAGGGCAACACATTTCTGGAGGCAGTGCTTCAAGCACGAACCCCACCCCACACACGAAGGGCGCGGAAGATCGTTGCCAACTGATAGTTATGCGCGTATGCAGCGGTTCTCATGCCTCCTACCATGCCTAGGTAAAAAAGACATATACAACTGAAAAGGCAGACGTCCCAAATGCAAAACTAAGGAAACTTGATTTCTCAACATTAGGTTGTTCCAGAGCGCAGGTCAACTCCTTGGCTTCAGTAGACGCTGCTAAGCACGGTGGCCACTCTCAGACAACCGGCTGACTAGCGGAAAAGATGAGGAGAGTCGGTACGTCTTTCTTAGCCCCCTGAACTTGCGCAGAATATGTTTCGACAGTCGAGACGGGACTGAAACATACGACACGTCACATACAGAGGCTAATTGGTAGACCAGCTACTATACTCAGTTTCAGCTCTAGTCATCTTCAGTTAGCCTTGCAGAAAATGAGTTCGGTCACTGTTACGTAGAACCTCCCAACAGTAATTAGATTCATGAGGTGATTAGCTTCGCCACCGCCACCACCAAATAGCAGCTTTTTTAACGCGCACCACCGGGGCAGTATCGGCTAACAGACATTTTGCGTTTATCCGTAGACGGCATCAGGCTCGTGAATTCATTTTCTCCTTGGTAATGACCGCTGAGAAAGTGACCATAAACGGAAGACGTAAGCGGAAAGAATAAGATTTAAATGGTTGGGTTTAAAAATGCTCATTTCGGCTGTGCAGAAGCAGAGGGTGCGAGAAGAGACTTACTTCCATGGGCACATTGCCCGCCAGTCTGGAGTCAACAACGAAGGTAGCTGGGCAGGCGACGCGCACTTTGCCTGGCTCCAGACCCGGACCGTAGCACTTCACCTTGCTGATGTCACTGCCACCTTGGACTCTCACCCGGAAGGGACTCGCTGATGACAGAAGATCACAAGAAGAGCATAAGTGTTAGAAGATCCAAAAGGAACAACAAAAGGAGTCCTGATTTCACATGGATAAATGCATATGGAACTGGGGGCGAGAAAATGTCGAGAAAGACCCTCGTATTTCTGTTGCCAACTGTCGGAGCAGTGATTGCGCCTACCATTACCTCTGCAATCTTTGGCAGTCAAATTGTTTGAAAATCAGCCTTCTTAAGTACTTTTTTT